GGAATAGTCTCCATGTTTTGGTTCCTCAGGTGGTCTAGCGAGACCTCCCTGGTTCCAGAACACACGTGGGTAATGAGAGTGGCCGTGCATGGCCAACTGGATTCTGCCCTTCCATGTGGGTGCCCACATTGGCTGTTCTCTCCTCTCAGCCTTCCAAAGACAGGGCAGTGTGAGATCTGATTTGGATTTTGGCTACTGGGATCTTCTAGGAAGAACCAGCCTGTCCAGGACCCGTGAGCCATTGCTCTGATGGGTTGATTCACGGAGCCCAGGGAGCAGCATGGGGGAGGCAGAGACCTGGCAAAGGAGAAGAGTGATAAACCACCTCGTCTGATGAGTTAAATTTTGAATCCAACCCCCGAAGCCCCTTGAACCTTTATCCCAGCCACCTCGTTCGAGGTGGTGAAAGCATTTTGTTTGGACATCAGGGAATGGTGGGGGGGGGGGGCTTAGGGCAAAAAGTATGTTAACTCGGGGCCTTTTCTTCTGGCTTGGGAACGTGGGTCCACAGCTTGAGAGTCAGGAACTAGCGTGCACATTCTTTACCCCTCCCCTCCTTGCTTCTGCCTGCCTTCTTCTCTGTGAGAACCGCTGCCTTGGTTCTAATCTAGTCTACTCTAGTATGCAGAGGTAACACTATTTCTTGGTGGCCCTTTAAAAAAAAAAGAAAAAAAAAAAACCACTTCCTTGCTTAATCTCCCCTATAGACCGTAGAAATATACAAAAGGCACATTTCATTAAAAGCTTGATTTATGGCACGTGTTAAAGAGATTCCGGAAAGTGGGGAGTTGAGTAGAGACTGAAAATACACGCTAGAAGCGTTCCTGTGGGGATTGAGGAGCGGGAAGGCAGTTTATTTTAGGGTGTTCCCATTTATTGTTTGTCAGTGACTTAATGATCGCCACCCATGGAATATTTTTAAATTAGATAAGCTATCTGGTAAGGGAAGATCATGATTTTGCGCAAAAAAAAACCAAACCCAGTGATACTTCAATAGCACTGTGTTAGTCAAGGGATTCACAGATGGGCAGTGGGAATTACTTGAGGGGCATGTTCTGAAGGAAAGAAGGTCCAGCAAGATGCAACATTTCATGGAGGAATCGCCAAGCCCCGGAAACACGTTGGCTCACAGCAGAAATGGCGTGAAGAGAAAGCCAGCCATAGTTACAGTCCCAGAGGGGATTTTAAAAGCTCAATAAAAAAGCATGGAGGTAAAATTAAGATAACACCTCCATGGACAGAGTGACCAAATTCTAGTCTCTCATACTTCTGGCATTTTCTTACCTCTTTTCCCCCTTTCTGCTTTTTACAAAAGTATTTTCCAGATTTATACATTGAATCTAAACCTCCACGCTTAATCTGGACAGAACTTTCATAAGTAATCCTTTTCGTAAACACGATTTTCAGGTTTTTAATAGTAATGATAACAACCAAGTTTGTCAAGAGTTTCCGTTTTAAAAGCTTTCACATGAAAACCTTGTCGAGGTTGTTTGGAGGAAGATGTGTATGTATGTGAACTTTCGCCATGGGTTTGTGGGCAAAGATCGCTCTCGGGTCATAGGTTAGCCGCAGAGCAGTTAACGTCTGACTGAACGTTAGGTTTTTCTGTTCTTAAGCAACCTCTGAGCCATATTTGTCATGAGGACCTTCTTAGGCTCCATCTTTCCTCCTGCCCTGGGACTGACCCCTGACTCTGCGATCCTTTATTTCTTGGGTTTGCTCTTTCACTTGCTGGAGCCCCAGCCCATCCTGGCTGTGAGCAGAGGGTCTCATCGTCCAAACCAGTAAGACAGTCTCAGCCCTTAATGCCAGTGGGGTTTTGTTCTTTGCGGAGCACACAGTAAGCTAGCATCTCCCACACTAAACAACCGCAGGCTCCAGATCTTCCGGGATCCCCAGAGAAAGGTGCTGGTCATAAGCTCTCTTGGATCTGGGCAGTGCAGGATTCTGAAAAGGTGCTAGGAAAAGCTGTTGTGGTGTTGGTAGCAAATATTAACTGAGCTCTTAGCAAGTGCCAGGCTCAGCACTAAATGCCTTATGGGTGTGACCTCATTTTACCCTCATGGTACCTCTGTGGGGTGGGAACTGACCAAGCCCCGTGTCGTGAACAGTTAGCAGGGGAAGGGTACCAGCTAGGGTTGACTGCTTGGCCAGGGCCGGTCAGTGGGGTGCCCACATGGGAGGGTGCAGAGATGCCGTAGAACCCAGCACGGTAGCACAGGGGAAGGAAGGAGAAGGGCAGGGTTCTTGTCATTTCTAACTCATGTTTAGAAGTCAGGTCACCCTGTTTCAAACATATTTTTATTGTTAAAGAAGGTGCTTTTTCTAAAACGTAAGAGAAATACATAGGCATGGTAATAAAATTCAAATGGCTTGGAAAGTTTTGAGGCAAGACAAATTCTGCCTCATTCCTCCACTGTTTGAGTCTCTCTCTTTGAAGGTGGCCACTCTTAAATCTCTTCTATATCCTTCCTGAAAGCTTAAAAACAATGCTGTGTTCTCCATTTGGTTCTCTAGGAAGAAGTTCTCCATAACCCCACATGGGAAGGCTGCTTTCTTCCATCATACTCTAAGTCTTGCCACTAAGAGCAGAGATTTTTGAGGACCTGCCTTTTCACTCAGAGCCATGCCCCCCTGTTACTTCCCCGTTGCGTTTCTGCTCCTCTCTACCAATGGCAGCACACCAGGCACTGATGGTGGAATTCTGGAAATCCTGTGGGGCTGCCTGGCTGACCTTGCAGAGACAGTCATGGCGGCAGAATCTGCTAGACCGCGGCCTTTTGGGGCCTGTATCATCTCATCAAGAGGCTGACTTTTACTAGTGTGGTCGGTACTTGTTGCCTGTGATCCTCAAGTACAAGTTCCCATTGCAGTGAATGGTGATTTTTGCCTCTTCATGGGGGAGCTTTCTGGAAGACCTTTTTGTCTCTGAAAACACCAGCCTCCTTTTGTATCCATAGCACATGGCCTTGAGTCAGTGTAGTGCAGTGTGTTGGGCCCCACACACTGGAGGGGTGTTCCAAGTTGTCTGTTTGGCCAGGGTGGGGTCCCTGCCTAGTCCTTGGCATTAGTAGGGAGCAGGGGTGGGTTCCATGGGAGTCCACACAGTTACCTTTTGTGCTTTCCTCCTTGCTTCTGCCATTCGATCATGTGGACACTTGGATGTGAGGCCTCAGCCTCTGGGAGCCCAGTCTATTCACGAAGTTCTCTCAGCTCCAAAATTAATGATTCTTCAGCTCCCTTTTAAAGAAAAAATTATTTATGGTGTTCACGATAGCACTGCTCGTACTATCCGCATAGTAAAATTTAGGAGTGAGTCTTCCTGTCAAAACATTGCTCAGAAGCCTCAGAAATGTTCTTTTGTACGTTTTACTTTTATTTTTTAAAGATTTATGTATTTAGAGAGAGAGAGAGAGAGCGGGAGTGGGCTGGGGGGGAGAGGGAGAATCCTCAAGCAGACTGTGCTGAATGGGGAACCCAGTGTTGGGCTCGATCCCATGGCCCTGAGATCCGTACCTGAGCCGAAATCAAGAGTCAAATGCTTAACCAACTGAGCCACCCAGGTGCCCGTTCTCTTGTACGTTTTAAAAGATAATAGAGATTCTGGGTTAAAAATCACATACAACTTGATTTTAATACTGAAACCAACTTCCTATTCCTAAAATGATTTTCTCCGCCTCCCAGTCCATTCTTGGGCATCATCTTGGGTTTCTGTCTGCCTTAAGGGCAATTTGGGCTTACAAAGGAGAGAATAAAGGTTTTCCAAATAACGTTCCCAGGGAAGTACAGAGGGAATGGTTCAGGCTCTATTTTGTGAATGGTCATCCCAACTAAGTTTGTTTGTCGGCATTCCGTCTTTGGCACCTTAATTTAAAAGGTGTTCATCAGCACAGCTGGGGAGTACAGTTGACCTGGGCAGTCATGCAGGGGACAGAACCAGGGTGGGAGGGCAGGCCGCTTTGTTGGACCATGTTAAACCTCATGTTCCAACTTTCTTGATTCCCAAGTCTCGTTCATGGTTTAGAATAAGGGGGTGGTCAAGCAGCCCATGGTTTTCCAGGATTGTGTAGTTATTCTCAAATTTGGCCTTCAAGTGAGCTCTGCGTGTGTTTTCCTTTACAGAAACCAGCACAGGGAAGGTGCTATATTTAAGAAGTAACCATTTTATCAGACGCAGACCAAAATGGGTGAGGGTGAATGAGAAAACTCGGGGAAGCCCTTGCATGCCGAAGGTGGAAGAGGAGCTTTCCCATGTGATTATGAATCAAGGGTGTAGTTTTTTGCTCCTTGACTTTTCGTCCCGTGTGTTCAATCCACTAGTTTCTGAAAGCGAAGTTGACAAGAGTCTGTTGATTTTCACTGAATGGCCTGGGCATCCGCCAGTTCCCAGAAGGACTGGGGAGAAGCAGAGAATGGCCCCAGTGCCTGGGCCTCAGGTTACCTGGAATTAGGGCACTTAGAGCTACTGGAACGCCCTTCACACTCGAATTCTCGAGCTAGTTCCTTGAGACACTGAGCTTTTCATTCCAAAAGGCAGACGAAATATCGAAGAGCTGATTTTCTCAGAAGGTTTCGTGGAGTTTCGTAGGCACAGAATTGATTCATGATCTGAGCTGGTCTGCAGGGAGATTGACCACGTGGGGCTCTGGGACAGGTCTAGGCAAAAAGGCAGTCATGAAGCCCATGGGGTGGTGCCCTGTCCTCAGGTGCTTGTTCGGAGGAATTGGGTCAGAAGGCTGGCATATGTTGCTCTGGGAGCATCTAAAAATGTTTGCAAACCTGGTCTTAGGGACCTAGGTTGTGGGTGAAATCTGGTACTGCAAAGAAGGGAGGACAGAGGTGCTGGGATCCAGTGGTTTTGGTCCTAAATTCTTGACTTTGGCCAGTACTCCCACTTCTATTCCTTTCTCAGAATTAAACATCTGGCTGGGCTCTGGCCAGCTGCCAGGCTTCTCAGGTAGGGCCAGGATTACATCTGCATCTTTGCGTTTTGTCTCCAGGTTTCTGCCGAATCCAGTTCTTCCATGAACTCCAACACCCCGCTGGTAAGGATAACCACGCGCCTCTCCTCAACGGCAGACACCCCCATGTTGGCAGGGGTCTCCGAGTATGAATTGCCAGAAGATCCAAAGTGGGAGTTCCCGAGAGATAAGTGAGTGCTTCTATTGGACGCATCCCCGAATGGAATCGTAGGCATAAAGGGGGATGTTGGATTGACATGTTCTTTTTCTGATCCTTAGCTGCAAAGGTCATGCAACAGGAGCGAGTGAGATGCTATTTCTAAATAACCAACTCATGAGAAAGGAAAGAATGGGTTTTCTCTCTCTCTCTCTCTCTCTCTCTTTTACTGGTTCTTTTAAAAAAGCTGCTAGGCACGGCTGGTCCCCAACCAAGATAGTACCTTGTTAGCACTTTTTTACTTTTTGGATAATTCAAACCTAGTCACACGGACTAAACGTAGGGCTAAATCTCATTGATAAAACAGATATGACATTCCAACTTCTGGTTATTAGAACATGACTGTTCTATAGTTCATTTCTTTGGGAGAAATTAGGTATAAAATACAAATTGCCTGAAGAATCTTCAGTCAGTGTTACTCTTTTTTAAGGGTTGTTAATGTCCTATGGGGCTGCAAAGGTTTGAATATGGTACCTGACATCACATTTCCTGTGGTCCATAATATTTTCTTTACTGGATCATGTGGAGGCATTCCAATCAGGTGTTCGTTCAGTCAGAGCATGACCACTTGGGCTCTGTTGAAGGCATTACTGGGAGCTCTTTATCTCTTGATTTGGCTTCAGGTCCATGTATTTGGGCTGTCTTGGGCGGGATTTGAATCCTAGCTCGGCTAGCCAGCGACTGGGCAACCTTGATTCTCTGAACTTCATGTTTATAAAATGATGACCATGGTATAGACCTCGCAGGACCGAGTGCAGTTCTTGGCTCATGAGTTTCCCTGTCTTGTGTTTCCCTTCATGGAGTGGTAAGCTGGGAGTTCTGAACCACAGACCCCAACAACATGGTGGTGCTGGGCAGAGAGTGTGTGAGGCAGATCCTGTGCTCCCAGCCCTCTGTCTTCTGGGCAGAACCAGCACCCAGACCCACCTTCTGAAATAAAGTGTGATGGTCCTTGAAGGCCAGCAGCTCCCTTCTAGGGTACCACTGTAGTCCCTTGAATCTGAACCTTGGTAGTAGTGGAAGGTGGAAATCACGGACTATCCATCTACATCACATCAAGCGGAATAAGCTCTTGCCTTGCTTCTATGTAGCTCCCACTCCCTATTTGTCTTGACATTGGCAGTATCTCTCTGAGATTAGGTCAGAGAGGTGTTTAATTATAATAGAAGAAACTCATCCACAAATGTAGAGGTACTAAGCTAAGCTATTCTAGAGCCTGGGTCTGACGAGCTCTATTTGGAAAGAGAGGTGGCTTACGTAGGGCACCGTGATTTTGATCCCACAGCTCTACACCAGATTTGTTCCCCAAGAGCCAGTCTGGAGATACTAATGTGCATCATAAGCTAGGACCAAAGAATTGCACAGGTATCACTCTGTCAGGAGAGTTCATGGAGGCCGTTTCCAGTGTAGTTGTGCACCGTAGTGGAAAGACCATTCATTCATTCAGGACTTGTTTATTGAACAGCAACTGGGAGGCATCAGAGAAAAACACAAAGAATGGTTTCTTTACCTGGAGAGTGTGGAAAGAGAACGGGGTAGTTTCTCCCGAAGCCACCTCACTCCCTCCTTTGGGGGTACAAGTAGGAGGGCTCTGGCACACATTCCTGTGTGTCTAGGACTGACCTGGGCTCCTGTGATCGCACGTTAAGAAATGACAGCTCTCATGTTCGGGCCCCGTGATGCTTCGGTCAACAGTGGATGTCTGTATGTGCCTAACTGTCCACTCCCACCCGGGGCGGACCCTCAGTGCAGCAAATGTGAGTGCTAAGCGTTTCAGAGCGGAGTTGAGCACAGATGTAGGTGGGGCAGATTTCCAGTGAATGAAGGCTATTTAGAAGCAGTTTATGAGATTGGAGGCAGACATGGCACAAAGAAAGGATTGTTATGCTTGTAGTAACAGGGCAGTAGGACATAAATTAGCCATTTTTCCAATGCAAATGTTTATTTTCTGCCAAGATATTAAATTTAATTTTAGTTCAGGAGAGAAACAGAATGACCTCAGCCTAGCATATACACTGCCCTCAGTCTTTGCTTAGCTTTTGTAAACCATTGTGTACTTACCATAAATACAGTTTATTTACTCAGGGCTGCTAAATGCTTTGCTGCATTATGCTTAAGTGGAAAAAAAAAAAAAAACACATTCATGACTATTCCAAAGATTTCTCCATTCTTTCAGCTTCTAGAATGTCCAAAGACAATATGTGGCTATTAGTAGGACGTGCACCGAGCTTCTGAGCTTAGAAATACGGTTTATCATGTTCACTCTGGGTTTTCTTCATTATTAATTTTGGGTAGTTAAGGATTTCTAAACTGTTAGGCCAAAAAAGATTCCCCTCAATTTCTAGAATTTTCTTTGTCCTTTAGGGAAAAATTAGAGATTCCTTGAAATGCGTTTAAAGATTCATATCATGTAACTTGGCCAGGAATGTGACCGTAAAATCCACTGGTATTTGAATAATAGTGATTTTAAAGACATCACTTCACAGAGACCAAAAAATAAGAACAGCTTTAACATTTTTTCTTTGAGACATTCTAAATTACGAATATTCAACTGGCCCGAGATCAAAAGCTCCTCATTGTTAGCACTTAGGAAAGCTGACCACCTCACTAGCAAGGATACCTTCCACAAAGAAAATAAATCGTGAACACAAATGTGAAACTTAATAGCTGTCCCGCCCGTAATTGACATTCTCTACAACGTCACTAAGAAAATACTCAAGCGCGTGTGTACCCCCGGTCTCATTAGTTCCATATGATAAATGCTCCATGCTTTTGCAAGCCGCTGAAAGATTTTTATATTTAGTTCTGGAATTTCCCCTTCACCAGATGCTGTGCACTAATCCCCTATTTATACATTTAGGCTGACGCTGGGCAAACCTCTGGGGGAAGGTTGCTTTGGGCAAGTGGTCATGGCTGAGGCGGTGGGAATTGACAAAGAGAAGCCCAAGGAAGCAGTCACTGTGGCCGTGAAGATGTTGAAAGGTGCGTGGGGAGGGGGACGGGTGGGTGTGTTGGGGGGAAGTCTTATCAAGAATGTTCCTTTTGTGGCATGTGAACTCTATCATGGCAGGGGGTCAGAGAGCACATAGTTGACCTAGGGGTTGAGAAGTTTTCAGTATAAATCAGCATCCTGGACAGACGATTTATCTTGAGCTGCGTGCACTTACAAGAAAGAAAAGCCAGTTTGGTTAGAAAGGGGTAGCCTCCCAGATTGTTCTTTGTCAGCTCCTTGTTGATGACCGCGATTTTTTTTATTCCCTCTATATTTGTATGTGCTTAGAAATATCAACTTACCCATAATTGGTTCATTTAGATGAGTCCTGGTATGCTGAATTTGGGATGCAAGCCTTAACTTAACAAATAAAGGAGGGTTGGCCTCTGGGAGGGAGGGAGGAGGCGTGGGGAGAGGAAGACACACCTCTTTTGTAAGAGGAACAAAGCAGAATTGACACTAGTCTGGGAGAAGCCCTTAGAAAGCTAAAAGGGAAGGAGCAGGATCAGTGGTGGGGTTGGCTGGGCAGAAACTTCTGGAACATACGAACAGTTACCCTGGGATGTGAGCATCGCATGGCATTCGTGGGATGACTGCCCAGCCCTGCTTCATGCCAGTGTCCAAGGAGCTTATAGCACTTCAAATGTCAGCCTCCTCCTCCGTAGTATTCTTTTAGGAGAGGAGTTCTAAGGGAATGGTTCCGTTATAAATCCTATTGTAGGGAGCTGAGAAAGGATGGGGTTTTTCCCATGTGTCTGGGCAGAGATGCCTGTATGTTCTTGGATGCCGGTGCCTGACCACTGTGGATGCTCCCGGAGTTAGGCTTTTTCTTTTTCTTTTGTGGGCTTTGTGCGATGGTCGTCCTGTCCCTCTCCGAGTGGAGAGGTAGCAGGGTGGAAATAGTCCAAAAAAAAAAAGAATTTTTTAAAGATGTTGATCTGAATGGCTCCCAAGGAAAGCTTGGGTGTTTTGAGCTCCTCACCTTGGGATTTGATGAGAGAGAGGCCTGTGCCCCACCAACAGAGGTGGCCCTCTGGCTTTTGTCCTGCATGGCCGGGGTCTGCCTGTGTGCCCTCGCCCCCCTGTGCGGCAGGTGTAGGGGACTGCGTGCCCCAAAACAGCCACCTCAGCAGCCCCTGGCCACGGACCGGGGCAAACGTGGGGAAGGCCCAGGCTTCCAGCGTCTTTTGGCAAGAACTTTTGTTTGGTTTTTGGAGCTCAGAATTGGAAGTCTAGGCGTTTATTTCTCTGGATATACACAGGCTGGCCTTCCCTTTCAGGATGGAGAAGGACATCAGCCCCGGAGCCCTGTGGGGGCCCTGGCGATTTTTATAGCCAGTGAGTGGCTCACTGCAGAAGGACAGCCCTCCCTGGGCTCTCTGTGCATCTCACCTTCCAGCCAATTACATTGCTCTTCCGCTTGTGAAAGTTAAAAGGCTTTTTGCCACGTGGCTCCTGTGCATTTCCTTATTTCATTTTTTTAGTAAATGCAGTTTTCCATATCGAGTTAACTCAAAGGGAGGCACGTGGGGAAGAGTCTTGCCGCTTTGCCGAAGCCGTGAGCCCATGAATGTGGGACCTAAGCTGTTTTTCTTGAAATTAGAGAGCAGAGGTTTATAAAACTTTATTTTTTTTAGGTTGGAAATCACAGCCCCCCTTGGAGAAGCCTACAAAGGCATGAACCTTTGCCCACTCAAAATGCACGTGCGCACACACACACACTTTTGTAAACACTTAGGAGGTGCCCCCTGAACCTGTCTGTGACTTCTGTAAGGGCTCGGGTTAGCGACATTTGGTCCAGAGAAAGTCTGTAGTGATTTGAGATGCCCCATTATCCTCCTTTTCCTTTGTATTGTACTCATGGTTGCTAAAGGCACCTTGAAGTTTGATACGGTTTTTTGGAGGCACCATAGATCTGCCAGAGGATGGACTTACTTCACGATAAAGTTAAACACCCCCACGCTCGTGACGGTTGCTAGAAAAGAATTGGCCTCAGCATCAGAGACCTATATTCTCGTCTTGACTTTTGACCCCATCGGCCCCAAATTAGCTATTTGACATGGATCAGGGCAGTTCCCCGTCTGAGCCTTTGCCCCCTTACCAATAAAATGAGGGAGATGATTTGGAAAGTGTTTTCTGGTTCTACAATTCAATTTCATGCTGTTTCCACTAAGTTTTTGGCAACTAGCAGTGGCTGTCGATGGGTTAGAGAAAACTAAATGGTTTTTAATTTACCTAATGTTTGTAGATGATGCCACAGAGAAGGATCTTTCTGATTTAGTGTCAGAGATGGAGATGATGAAGATGATTGGAAAACACAAAAATATCATAAATCTCCTTGGAGCCTGTACTCAGGATGGTGAGTAGGAGGAAAAAATGCTTTCATCCAGATAATTTACACTTGAATGTTAACATCATTTTAGAAACGGTTGGACTTTTGGATCTTGCTCCTAGGGCACCTCAAGTGCATGTTTAAAGTTCTCTTTAAAATCCCCTTAGGAAGATGTTCCTGGCCATGAACACAAAGGGGACTTTGTGGCCATACTGGGGGACTGTGGAAAGGTAGGTGGCGTTGGGTGGCTTTGGATGGGAGGACCTTCTAGAGTCCTGCTGTTTTTAGGGCATAACCTGGAGGGTGTTTAGAAAAGACAGTCTCCTTATGTTTTTGTTTTTGTAGTGCTAAGAGGGATTTCTCAAAATAAGACCCTATGGGGGGCGCCTTGGTGGCTCAGTCAGTTAAGCATCTGCCTTCGGCTCAGGTCATGATCCCGGGGTCCTGGGATCGAGCCCTGCATTGGGCTCCCTGCTTGGTGGGGAGTCTACTTGTCCCTCTCCCTCTGCTTCTTCTGCTCATGCTCTTTCTCCCTCTCTCTCAAATAAATGAAATCTTAAAGAAAAAAAAAGACCCTATGTTATGGTTGACAAATCCCTTAAAATGGGGATTGAAGAAGCCATGTCTTGCTATGGACAGCAATGGCTGAGCTCCCAAGAATAGTGCAGGGGAGGGAGAGGGTAGAATGAAGGGACACGTTAACTTCCTTGGGGGAGAGGGAGCATTGACTTCTCTCATTGGAGAGCTAACTGACACTTCGGGAATCAGTTTGATGATAATTAATAAACTTGAAGAAGCCTGTCTTTGCCTCAGCCATTTCTCCTTGAGGTCTATACCAGGAGTCGGGAGACTTTCTGTGAAGGGTGATTGTCAGTAGTTTTGGTCTTGTGGCCTTGAGGGTCTTTGTGGCAACTACTCATCTTTGCCTTTGGAGTGAGAAAGCAGCCACAGACAGTACAGAAGTGAACGGGCCTGGCTGTGTGCCAATACCATTTAATTACAAAAACAGGCAGTGGGCAGGATTTGGCCTGCAGGCTGTAGTTCGCCAGCCTCTGGTCTATGCTACGGAGAAAGGATTGCACGTGTGTGTAAGGAGACATACACAGGAATGTTCCCCGTGCAGTTTGTTACAGGCCAAACCTGCAAGCAGTGTAAATGCCCATAAGTATAGGGAAATGAGTAAATAAAATGTGGCATGTTTACATGATGGAACATAGGTAGCTGTTAAAAGGAATGATCTAGATTTATTTTTATCAGCCCGACTGGGTTCCAGGACGATAACGTGTAGGGGGAAAATGTTGCAAAGCTGTAGCTTTATTATTCATATATGTGATTAAAAATAATAATGTTTATTGATACATATATGTATGTAAAATGGTTAAAATGAACTGGAAAAGGCAAAATTTATAGTAAGCATTGCTCTGCAGTAGGGCACAGGGGAGCCTGGGAGTGACAGGGGAAGAACACTCACTGCATCTCTGTCTATTCCTCTAAGACTTTTGAGGCTGTCTTGACCCAAGTGTCGATGATCATTTTGGGGGAGATGAGAATGTAGGTGTTCTATTTTTGTGTGCGCTTTTCTGTATGTTTCAATTAAAAAAAAAGAAAGAAAGAAAGAAAAAAAGGTAGTGGGTTGTAAGAAACAAAATGTGGCTGAGCTTCCCCGGGGCAGATCTGGGTGTGTCTTCTCAGTGAGCTTGCCCTCTCTGTCCACAGGGCCTCTCTACGTCATCGTCGAGTATGCCTCGAAAGGCAACCTCCGCGAGTACCTCCGAGCCCGAAGGCCGCCCGGGATGGAGTACTCCTATGACATTAACCGAGTTCCCGAGGAGCAGATGACCTTCAAGGACTTGGTGTCCTGCACCTACCAACTGGCAAGAGGCATGGAGTACTTGGCTTCCCAGAAAGTGAGTCCTTCACATTCTCCTCAGTTGGGTGGACTCCAGTTAAAAAGATCTGTGAAGAAAACAGGCAATTTGGACGTGCTCATTTGCTAAATCAAGCCCTTGCATGTCTTGTACAACCTGGAAAATATTTATTGCGTTATTCACATTGGGGTTTGGTGAACTCTTTAAAAGCCAGAGAAGCCTGTCATGACACTGCGGAGATGAGCAGAAAAGCTGTCTCTTCTCCTGGGATTCTGCTCTCGGTAGAGAACAGCTAGGTTAGGGGATGCTGCCTTTAATTCTCCTGAGTTTTGGGGGGCTTTATTTGTTTTGGGATGAGTTTTTGGACATAGACTTGGGTGTTGTGTTTATGGTTTTAAGCTTGAAAGGGCCTTCGATATTCTATGAATAAAGATCAGGCAAAGGGGTATTTTAGTAACACTGAGTCCTGGATATCATCTGGGTTTATTTTGTCTCATTTAGCGGGGTGACCCTTTGGCTCGAAGTTGGCCAGGTCCCCTGAGGTGAACCGTCTGCATTCCAAGCATGCCACTTGCAATGGAACTTTAAACATCTGAGTTATTCTGAAAGCAGTTAGGCAGGTGCCCCGATGCCCCAGAGGACATCTCGGATGACCCAAGACACCCTGCCTTAGCTCACACTTCGGGGGCGGGGGGTTACAGAACTTCCTCCTTAGGCAGAGGTGGGGTCCCTTCTACCTGCGGTGGAGCTTGATGCCCATCTTTGGGTCCCCAGAGAAGTGAGATTCTCTTGTGGGCGTGGACCCCTTGTCACCGGGGGGCCCAGGCTGGGTCATGGCTCTGCCCAGTCACAGGAGTAAGGGATCCGACCACAGGGCATCAGGAATCAGGGAGGGGGGTTGCCACAACATTCTGTCTTTTGGTTTGCTTTTTATTTTCTTTTTTGTTTGTTTTTTATTTTCAAGAGAGTCCAGAGTTGAAGACTTTTTCAGATTTTTTTTTTTCCCTAAAAACTCTTAACCTATAGATTTTAGGAAGCAGTTTTGTGCCTGAGATTATGTACATGTGCAGGAATACAGGCCAACTGAAAAATCTTTGACGTGAGGAAATGGATCAGATCCAGAATGTGGGACATTTGACAAGACATCGCTTCAAAATGTCCGCGTCACAAGAGACAAAAACCACTGGGGAAACAGTTCCAGATTAAGGGAGGCTTAAGAGACAGGTGGAAAACCATGTGTGCATGTGTGACCCTGGACTGGGCCTTGTTCAGGGTTAGGGGGGCAGCTTTTGTAAACAACATTTAGGAACAACTGAAACTTGAATCGGGTCTACATTAGATGATATGATTGGATCGATATTAAATCTGGGGGTGGTGATAGTGGTCCTGTGTTAAGGTAGGAGATGTTTGCTCATGTGTTTAGGTGTGAGGTGTGCAGTCACTTTTAAATGGTTCAGGCATACAAAGTATGTGTTTTGGGCTGGAGATTGTGTGTAAAGAGAGAGCCTGCATGACAGGCGATCCCGGCACACACGGACCATCACTGTTCTGTTTCACCTTTGCTGTAGCTTTCAAATGTTCCTAACTAAACCCTAGGGAGCGTGGCCTGCCTGCACTGGTTGAGGGGACCCCCAGGGCTGGGGCGAGGGGAGGGCTGCCCACCCCCAGGGCCCGGCCCTTCTGTACCCTTCCCTGTGTGGGAGGGGGGAAGTGTTTTTTGGACGCAGCATGGCTCTGCTGTTAATACAAAAGCAGTAGGAAGGCTGGCTTGGTCATTTTATTAATCCTTCAAGCAAATATCCCGGAGCACTCCTGACTCTGGTGCTTCGTGCCCCAGGTCAGGCTCCCGTAGCGGGTGGCTGGAATGGACAGAGTCCTTGGACCTCTTGGAGCAGGAACCTCGGGTGACAGCAGGAGAGATCAACAATAAGCGTGGGAATAAAAATAAAAATGGGAAAGGGTGGGAAAGGGTGAGAGGCGTGCTGTGCAGGAAACAAACTGTGGGAGGTCAGTGGGGGGTTCAGGGGGAAAGGTGGCTGGTGAGCACTGCCGCCGGGCGACAGTCGTGTGCAGCTTCTTAGGAGGGACACAGGGTGCAGGGAGCAGCGTGCGCGATGTGGCTGAGCTCATTTGGGGCCTCATGGACCCAGGCCAGGCCTCCAGGCTGCGCTGTAGGCTGTGCTCTCGGACTGTGGCAGGCCACCGAGGTGGGGGTAATGGGGTCGGGTTTGTGCTACAAAGCTCACTCGGTCTTGTGCTGCTCACAACTGGTGGGTTGCAAGCTTGGTGCTGGTGTTTTGGGCTAGGGTTTATTGGCGCCCACAAGGCACTGGATAAGAAGATTGATTTTGGACAGATTTTGCTCTTGGGATAGTTAGTGATTTCCAGCCTGAGAGACTGGACGGTAGCGCAGCTGATCAGGATGAGGAAGACTCTGGGGTGGGAGAGGGTGGTGGGAAGAGATTCTGGTGCGCAATTCAGGATGCACTTTCACCACGTGTGAGAGCCATTCGAGGGCCAGTGCGGGGCAGGAAGCTCTGGGGGCTGGCCTAAGACCTTGGGAGCCAGCAAAGGAAGTGTAGTTCCAAGGCATGGGAGGTCATCTAGCCGGGGAGAGGCAGAGAGGAGGGGGGGTAGAAAAAGCTCTCGATTTCTGGAGCTTGGCGCAAAGCACCTGATGGCAGTGGAGGCTGAAGGGACATAGAGAGGCGAGAGGAAAGGCAGGATGTGGTTCACAGAGGCCACGGGATGGGTTTCAGGAAGGCGGAGTGTCATTCTCCTCAGAATGGGAGAGAAGAATGTGCCTTGCACCTGGCTCATGGAGCCCGTGTGGACTCCCCATTGCTCCCCAGCCCCAAGGACTGTGAGATCCTTCCTCTTTTGGAACTATTCAGAAGAACTCTTCAGTGAAGAGGGAACTTTGTGAAAGGGGGCAATTCTCATTATTAATCAGTACCAGTTTTTGAGAGCTCAACATCTACCAGGCACAGGACGAGTGTTTTACGTACAGTATCATCCATAACCTCAGATCACTTCTGAAGTAGGTGCGATTTTAGGATAAGGATGCTGAGGACCGTTGGGAGGTGCCAGGACACCTCTGAGCCAGGTATGCCTGAGTCACTGTCCTCATTTCCAAGATGGGGACTCCTAGGTCCTCAGAGAAAAGTCGCTGGTCCCAGACTGGCCCTTTGGTTCTCCACTCACCCACCCTGTGCCCCAGCCTCCCCCACCCTGCTCTCAGATAATCCCTGCCTCAGTGGATGGGGGTGGGGGGAGGACCGATAAGATGCCTTGTGTCAAGGCGTTGCTCACAGACACAGAGTGGGCCAAAAGGGAGCTTTATGTCATTAGGGCCTTGAAGGGTCCCAAAGCCCTTTGCAGAAGATGGCCTGCAGTTGAAGACCTAGAACAGGTTTGAAACTGGCCGTAGATGATGATCTCAAGAATGGTCCCCTTGAGTGGAGCTTGCTTCCAAAGACGGAGGGCTTATTCCTGACAGTGGAGTATGAAGAAGCAGGGCAAGGGCCTGCTCACACTCACGCCTCACAGCCGCCGGCGATGAGCTTGCTGGAGGCCTGCTTAAGGAACTGTTGAGTGAGCTCTCTGGCTTATTACTGATGGAATGCAATAATGAATTCGGCTCAGTAAACATTGACTGGGTCAGGCTCTGTGCTCAGTGCTGGGAATATAGAAATGAACACGCAGGGCCTGTCCTTGAGCCGCTTAAATATGTGCATGCGTGCATGCATGTGTGCGAGTGTGTTTGTGGGGAACTCGGGGGTGGGCAAGTAAAGAAACACTGTGATGTATACAGAATACAGCAAGGTAATATGGGGTATTTGAACCTTACACAAATTATGAAAGCTTTGCTGTTTTTAGTTCAAAGTACACTAATTTTTCTTTTTTACCAAATCCCAAAACCAGTCCAAGGTGTTAAACCTGAGTGGGTGTTGTTTTTGTTACTTAAAGCAGGCTCCAGCTTCCCTATCTGTGAAATGGGTGCAACCATACCCATGAGATTGCCATGGGAATTTAATTCTATCGTCTGGGCCATGGGGGTGTTAGGCTTCCTTCCCTTAGTGTGACCCATGGATCTCCACTTAAGAAATGGATACCAAATGGTCTGAGGGCCCTAGTTATGTAAATGGTCAGCTCTGCCCTGGAAAACAGCTCTGATTTCTGCAGATGATGGGAATTTGGCTTGATGTTAATTATTTTCTTTTTCTTGCGTGTTGGTTCCAAGTCTCTTACTGTTCAGCCCAGAGGGTGGGCGTTCGTGTCTGCTAGCATCATGGGATGTGGGAGGTTGGTGCTCGATCCTGGTTCTTGCCAAGATGATGATGGAGGTCACTGTCATGGTATCTCTGAGTTGAGCACTCATGTGTGGTGGGAGCCCAGCGTGTGGGAATCCAGATTTTTCTGACCACACAGCTTGCCAAATGCACAGAGCTCGTGTCGGCAGGGAGCACGCCGCCGGGAGAGTTTGGCCGAGGGCTTGGAAGTTCAATTTGAAGAGGCCTCCAAACTAGGAACATGGCTCCCGCCCCGGCCGGATCCCCAGGCGACTTCTGGAAGCTCTCACATTTCCTGCTTCCGTTCTGGCACAGGCACACCTACTTGTGGGGTTTTCTTGCTCTCCCTTTCCTGGTCTTCACCCATCCAGGGGGCCACAGAAGCGTCTAAAAACAAGGAATCGTTGGGCGGTGGGCAGGAAAAAATAACTCCTAATTTATTCTTCAGAGAGAGTGTGGCTTGCTCCTTTTTATTGGCCATGTCGTGGAGTCCCTAACTACAACCAGCCCCATTTCACCCTTGTCAAGTGGCTTGATAAGACTCTCTCCTTCATCCAGTAGTTAACACATGAGCCTGTGTCAAAGCATTTGGTAGAGATATTTGTTCACTTCCTTAGACCTTGCCTTTTCCAAAAATAGGGGCTGATGATTGGGGAATTCTCATTACCATGTGTCATGATGAAATCTTGTGATATTGAAGTATAATACTTTACAAAAGTGTATCATTTGTAGAAAGGAAAAATGGGAGTTACAATGACCAGACCTTTCTGAGACCGAAGGGTATCAGAACTATAAATTAGCTGCCCTCTGGTGAGCGTGTTTGCATTCCCCCCCACTCCCCACCCGACCACCCTCCCCCACCCCCAGGGATTTTGTGTGAGCCGGTGTCCTCCGGGCCTGGGCCTGGACAGACAGGCGTTTGTCATGATATAAGCCGGAAAAGGACATGGTCAGTTCTTAGAAACACAACTTGTGGGGAGCGTAGCAGGTGCGGTAGGGCCGAGTTTGGAAGCGCAGAGACCGGTTAGGTAGGCACTGTGGCTCTCCATGGGGCTGGGGGTGGGCAGTGGTGATGTCCTGGGCTAAGCGGGGTTAGTCGTGGGGACACAGCGGGGTGGACAAATTACAGAGGCAGGTGGGAGTCAGTGTCCACAGAATTTGGGAGGAGTGTGCCGAGAATTCTGGTGTATACTTCTCGCACTGAGAGAGACCCAAGAGGGTAAGAATTAGGGGAGCAGAGACCTTGAATTTGAGGAGCCAAAGGGATGTCACAGTGGAAATGTCCCATAACCTGTGGAAGATGACAGTGAGGGTCCCAGGAGAGAGGTAGGAATTTGCAAATCTTTTGTGTGTATCTAAGAATAGAAGCCCCAGGGATATGTGGAAATATACGAAATGAATGGGACATTTCTCCTATTTTGAGGGATGGGGGAAGAAAGGAGCTGGTTTGAGACGGTGAGCCAAGAGAAGGGAGGGGATAGAACTCAAGGGGTTGGGGGGTGGGGACCGTTTTTTTAAAAGGAGCGTGAAATCAACAGTGTCCAGAGCTGCAGAGGGAAACATTGAGGCATTAGAAGAGCTCACTTGGGTCTGACAAGAGGTTCCTCATATACTTTTGGGAGGGGCAGGGATGGAAACAGAATGTTTGCGGATGGACCAGGAGGTAAGGACAATGTGCCCAGCTCTTCTGAAAGTCTGGCTGTAAAGGGCGGGAGAGTTAAGTGTTGAGATAAAAGATTTTAGAATAACCTAGCACAGATCTCGTGCTAGGAAGGACGCCAGTGTTGTTGGTTGTTTGCAGGTAAAATAGGATTGGCTGCTTGGTGTCTCTTTGCTCTTTGAAATGATTGGGGCCTTGGTTTTTTAGTTACTTTTAATTAGAAAAGAAATACCATTTTTTGACTTAAGGTCTATTTTCTGTCTGCATTGTAAGAAGTGAGTATATTTTCTCTTTATTCTTGAAACATTTTGAAATGAGTTCTTTCTTGATTTCAGTGTATTCATCGGGATTTAGCTGCCAGAAATGTTTTGGTAACAGAAAACAATGTCATGAAAATAGCAGACTTTGGACTGGCCAGGGATATCAACAATATAGACTATTACAAAAAGACCACAAACGTAAGTCTATGGCAGCACTGTGGTGGAAGGGAGGGAGGGGTGGTGGTGGCATGGAATGTTCCAGATGAAAGATAATGGGCGTCCATTCCTCTGCCCTTTATCTCTGTTCTTTTGCTGTATTCTTGACAAACTTCTCAATAAGCAAATTTCAGCTGTATTTAAGATACTTTTAGTAAATGTGAAACAGCTTTGTATATAGAATGATCGGCAGCCTCTCTGGTCTTCATCAGGCTCTTTGTCAAGAACTTCCCTAGCCAAGACTAGAGCTTGGGAGTTTCTGGATTAATTTTTGCCTAGAAGGTGGTCAGGGTGTGTCTGTGTGCGAGGCAGATCGAGGATGATGAGAGTCCAAAGAAACGGCACTGTACTCATGTGCCCAAGTCTGTGCATCTTGCGTGTTATGTGTCGGCCCTGCTGGGCCTTATTTCTGCTCTAATGACTGACCAGTGAGAATCATTAGTGTCAGCTCTCAAATAGGGCACAGCCTGTCGGGCCAGCAAAAGTAAACTGGTTTTAATCTAGTGGTTTTTACCTTTTTTCCCCCCACACTTGCAGGGGCGACTTCCAGTCAAGTGGATGGCCCCAGAAGCCCTTTTTGACCGAGTGTACACCCACCAGAGTGACGTGTAAGTAACTCCCTTCTCTCCGGCTTCTCCATCGGGTTGAGCTGCAAAAATAACTATTCATCTTTCTTCATTCTTTGGTGTCTGTCGTATTTCACACGTTGATAGAAGGTGCAGGAGCCGGCCTTAGAAAGGACGGATTTTATGGTAGGCTGGTAACCAATGCGCTGTTACTAATCTGCCCAGCTTCAAAGTGCACGGGAGGTGTAACTTCGAACGTCGTCCTGCCAGGGAGGAAGTACCCCCCCCCCGGCCCCGAACCTCGTCCTGCTGTGGAAGTACCCCCCCCGCCAACTTACTCACGGACCCACGACTACAAAGCTGCTGTCTCATTTGCCAGGCCGTTGGCGTGTTCTTTGCTCCCCGAAAGAAGGAATTTTGAAACTTTTCCTACTTGAGGGTGGTTTCATACTCCCCCCCCATCTCAGGCTTGTCCTCATGGGGACAGGTTGAGAGGGGCAGAGTCTGCTCAGGTGATCTCCACGGGCCTGCTTCTTCTGTTTATCCTTTGAAAAGATCTGATCTCGGCCTGGCACCCTTGATGACATTACAGAAACAGTGAAAACTCTATAATCTCATTATGATACACTTAAAAATACTCATTTCCAAACCTAAAATTCTAAAATATCAGTTGGAGGGGCAGGCTCCTACTGATATTTTAGAATTTTAGGTTTGGAAATTAGTTTGGAAGAAGTTACCCTGGTGGGAAGCTGGGGGGAAGGTACAGAGCATCTTTCTGTACTTTTTTTTCCCAAGGTCCTGTGAGTCTATAATTAGTCCAAAATAAAAAGTTAAAAAAAAACCAGTTGAGCTATTTTTATTTATGTGACCAGGATGCTCCCCGGGATAGGCCTGGTGTCGCAGCTGGTCCCCTTTAGCAGTCCTAGAAGGAAGGTGTTACAAGTCCCGGTTATGTCGGGAGTCAGCTGCCTGCATTGTGCTCCCACTTTTGCTCCACACAAAACTGGGGAAGAGTTTCATTTCTCACCCCAAACCCGAAGAGAGTCGGGAAGGGTGTGTGTCAAGAGCCTCAGTGACATAGATAAATGCAGGAGTCTTGGCTCGATTACCCCAGGAATTGTGAGTATCCTGAAGGAGGCTCAGAAAGTCCAGCTGTGGGTCTCCGTGAGGTCAGGTACCCGTGGTCCCCTGAGAGAGGTTTTCAGTTTCTGCTGTAGGAAACTCGTCCGGGGCACGGGATTCCTTCATCCCCATCCCAGCCTGATGCCCACTCCCTTCATGACCCTAGTGAGTCATGAACCTTTTGTGCTCTCAGATGCTCCAACTTGGCGGCTGTTTACCTTGCAGAATTGGCTTGCTGGCCTTAGTCGGTCAGCAGCCCATACTGGTGGGTCACGGTCCAGGGGCGTCAGGCACAGAGGCTGTTGGAAGAGCTGGACGGGAGCATGAAGAGTTCTGCAGCTTAGGAGCTGACATCCTCACGTTGCTAACACCGCATTTAAGGACAAGTCACCTCATTTGAGAGTGTCAGAATGAAAAAACAACCACCCCAAATCTCTACCAGAAAAAAAGAGGGATGGGATGGTTTCCCACCCCTACTCTGTTGTCTGTTGATGGAAAATTCCATGGGAACAGCCCTCCCGTTGTTCTCATTTGGGGAGGATGCTCCTTCGGGGCAGGGAGGGGCCTGTGGGATGAACTGCAGGAGGGTTCAGTCCATTTGTCTTTGAACATGAGAAGTGAGTGGGCGTTTACTTTATTCACTGGGCACATTTGGGTTTTTGGGATTCAGGTGGGTTGGTAACACTGTTTTCTGTCTTCCTTGCAGGTGGTCCTTCGGGGTGTTAATGTGGGAGATTTTCACGTTAGGGGGCTCACCCTACCCAGGGATTCCAGTGGAGGAACTTTTTAAGCTGCTTAAGGAAGGACACAGGATGGATAAGCCAGCAAACTGCACCAATGAACTGTAAGGACCGTTGTCTCTCCTGATACCCAGTGGACCCACCATGCCATTAACTCTTCTGACTTATTTCGGGTTTCCCAAGGCCCCTGGTTTTCCATACAGGCCCTAAGAAGAATTACTGCTGAAGCTTTCTGGGCTCAATCCCAGGACTGGGGTGGATGGCTACACTGACGGCCATAACTGTCCAAAAGAGAGAACATCATCCCGAGGCGTATGGAGTGAGCTTTAGATCAGGGCATTGGGCTTCCTGGCTGAGGGCTTCTGACTTTCGAGAGTGAGATGCAGCAATCTTCCTGGGCCACCGTGCTGTGCTTTGCTATTGTCTCTCAGACGGACAGGGAGAAAGATCTGGCCTTTTCTCATACACAAGCTGGAAAGCTGTGGGCCTGCCCGGCCTTTCCTCACGGCTTACGCCTGCCCCCAGCACGGCCAGGGGGCATGGGCGAACACTGAAAATTGCTCTTCTAGATTGGAATTGACCACGTGTCTTCAGAGCAAACTGGGGTCTGGTTACCTCTGTTTTACCCATAGTTTAGCACAGAGAATTAAGAATGTGTCCAGGTGCCATCCTTAGAGTCCCAGATCTGGCTATAAAACCATGAGCTCGTTTCGAGAAAAGCCTACCCCACACTTCAAGTGGAATTATGTTGTGTTTGTGACATGCGTCTTGTGCAGTAGAATCAGTGCTTTGAAAGGGAGTCTCTCTTCCCAACCCCCCCAGGATTAACTAAGAAGAGTGATTGTCCCGGAGACTGTGGTCTATTGTGTATCGTTTCATGGGGATTTTATATCCGTAATCCCATGAGTGCTTTTCACTGTACAGTGGACATCTGATGAATGGCCACATTTTATAGTATATTATATAAAGGTATTTATTGTGCTGCCTGTCATTCCTATTGCCTTTTCTAATATAGAGGGTCTGTCGAAACCCATAATCAAGATAAGGCCTGGGACCCTAGGCCTGTCCAGGAGTTAATCTGGAAGTTAATGTGCAGCCCAGGGATGGCAGATTAATTCATAAAAACCTTACCTTAAAGTTGTGGTTTTCAAACTTCATTTTTTTTTAAACTGAGGAACCTTTGTCCTCTGCAGTCATTAAAATAAAACCCAAAGTGTCAGGGAGAAGAATGTGTAGCTGCTTTGGTCGGGAGGAGGGAGTTGGGGGCGGAGGGGGCGGGGTGTGCTGGGGAGAGACTGGAGACCGGGTTGCTCCTAGAAGGTTTTTCCTTCAGCATCTCAAAGTGCCAGAAAGATGTGCTACTTCTGTGTGTGTCACTGTCACAGACGCAAGTCAGCAGCAAAGACGTAGAAATAAGTCTTGATGGCATAGACACTATCCTAAAACGTTTGGGGTGAAGTGATGTTTTTGTAGCTCAAAGTGCCTTTCAGAGGAACCAAGCAGTGAATTTTTTGGGAAAGGAAATAACTGCCTTCTAATTTGGAAAGTTCTGATACATGTTCATAATTTAGGACGTTATCTCCCAAGTGCCTGTTAACACTGGCTTATAGCCATGCACCTAGTACTTACAAAATGAATTCACCAGGAAATCCGTTTCCCCAGGTATATGATGATGAGGGACTGTTGGCATGCGGTGCCCTCCCAGAGGCCGACGTTCAAACAGTTGGTAGAGGACTTGGATCGGATTCTCACTCTCACAACCAATGAGGTAAGAACCCTCTTCCAGAAGCCTGTGGTCCTTTCTTGGGAGGCCAGTGCGGCTTTTTCAATGCAACCTCCCCTGTTGGAGTCTGTGGTAGAGATTATCATTTTTCCACAGGGGTCAGACAGAGTTAAAATATGTGCAGTTTTGAGAGTTCTGACTCATGAAACCAGACCGAGGGCCCTACTTGAGGCTGCCCCTCTCTGTGGCCTTTGGGTGGTGGGTCCAGGTTGTGGTATGCTGGACGGTGTGGAGGCAAGAGAAATAGCAGCATTTGGGTTTGCATGTAAAGAGCTTGGGTTTCTGTGCTGCTTGGATTCAGCTCCTAACGTAGGAGTTGCTGCCGTTCTGTTAACTGGTGGGCTTCGCTGGAAGCAGTGAGGTTCTGCCAGTTTAGCTTCACACGCACGGCAGTGTCCACCGTGACCCTGTTTGGAAATGGCGTGGGGCATGGGGTCTCCGTACACACAGTTTCGTGTAATGAGGGACTTGTGATTTTTTTTTTTAAATATTTATTTATTTGAGAGAGAGAGAGCGAGAGAGGGAACCGGGGGAGGGGCAGAGGGAGAGAGAGAGAGAATGAATCTCCAGCAGAGACTCCCTGCTGAGCCCGGCGCCTGACCCGGGGCTCTACCTCAGGACCCTACCTCAGGACCCTTGAGATCATGACCTGAGCCGAAATCAAGAGTCAGACGCTTAACTGACTGAGCCACCCAGGCGCCCCGGGACTTGTGATTTTTAAGTGAAAGCTTTTACCTTTTGTTAAAATATTTTTCTATAAAATATTTGTAATCTGTACCGACGAAGGAAACACTCCTCTGTCCCTCACTGCGTGATTTCGGTCATGGTAGTGCTTGCTTCAGTGTGCAGCTAGAGTGGTCTCTGTGGTAGAGAGTGTCTGATCTGAGCAGGAACGATGAGAAACCCATCGAGGTCAGAAGAATCCCACAAAAAATTGTTAATGAATGAATTTGAGATATTTAATGAGGGTGCAGCAAGCAGTCTTCCTTCAAACAGGAAAAAAAACCTCCCCCAAACCCAGTTATCTTAACAACAACAAAAAGATGTTAAAATTGCTTGAATAAAACTAATACATTTAATGTATTTTTAAATACATTTAATAGCTTCAGAATGATTTTTTTTTAAATCAAATGTTGTGATATGAAGCCTTAAGCCAGCAACATTATCTTGTGTGTCTAACTGTAGCTGATAAAAGGAGAGATTGCGTTTAAATGAATACAGCTGACCTTCAGAAGTTGAAAGGAAAGGAACAGTTCAAGGGGGAAAAAAGCAACTTTCTTCTCCTGCCAAAATTGTTGTTTCTAGTGTAAGTTCCTTTAACCCTAGACTTGGAATCCACTGATACCCCTTTTTTCCCCCTATCAGATCTGAACATTTATGGCTGCATTTAGAAACTGGGAAAGCACTAGTGTTCCATTTTACTGGTCCTAAGTCCATGCTCAATGCTCTTTATTTATATATTTAAATTTAAAGTGGGTCCATTCATACTGAAATTTACATCTAGCATCCTAAAATAAAAAAGCAGAATGCCATATTGTCTAACGGATATAAAAATCGAAGTTTCTTTCCTTCTGAAAATCATTCCCATATGCTTGAGAAAAATGGTTCCATTTAGGACAAAATTTCATTTTTATCATTGTAAGCAAAAAGTTCTCTTTTGATGTGGTGGGTGTGTTTGTTTCCAGTTGTGCGGTTAATGCTGATGTTGTTGGAACTGACACATCCCCCATTCTTGGATGGGGACTTTTTCCCTTGCCAAACCTGGTGATGAATTATAGTGGGGTTTTTTTTTTTCCAATTTTTTTTGGGGGGGGTGTCTTTTTAAAATGTCGAGTTCCCAACATTCTGCGGGCTCTTTTCTGATAACACCGGGGCTGGTTGTGCTGTGGTCTCAGCAAAACCACACATCCTGGACTTTCACTTGGCTTCAGGGTGTGGGAGCAGAACCACCCCAGTGTGTCAGCCCAGTAGGGGCAGCGACACCCAGAAGTTCCTCAGTTTAGAAATCTTGCCAGAGTTTCCAAGCAAGGGTCTGCGAACCTCTTCGGTAAAGGGCCAGATAGTAAACAATTTTTATCTCTGGGAGCTGAACTATTCAGGTCAGCCGTCAAGGCGAGAAAACAGTTATAGACAATATGTCAATGAGTGTGTCTGTGTTCTGGGTAAAACTTGATAGACCCTAGCATTTAAATTTTGTATGACTTTTATGTCCTTTTATGTCATTTTAATGCCATGAGATATTACTCTTCTTTTGATTCCCCCCCCCTGTTGAAAAATGTTAAAACATTTTAGCTCATGTTTCAAAACATGTTTTCGCTCATGGGCCACACAAGACCAGGCAATGGGCTCTCACCCTGCCATAAGTTGGAGGAAATGTTATCCTGGGTCATCCAGGGGGCTCTCTTCCATAGCAACCCCAACAGAGGCTGTAGGGAGCAGAAGAGACCCTTTTGAATTTCAAACTCTTCTTTAACAGTCCATTATGGATTTAACATACACGAGTACATCCGAGCCTTTTCTGAACCTGTTTACATTTTCCACTTGGAGAGCTTCTGAGAGTAATGAATTACATCTGTGAAATTACCCGCTGAATGGAGACAGATTCCCCCTAAATTATCCTAGAAACTGCAATAGTAAAATGTAATTCGTAAAATAAATATTCATGGTGTCAACTATTTTAAGGGGTCCCCGGAATCCATAACACGTTACATGTTTTTCATTTTGCGGGGGCTCGGATTTGAACAGTGTGCTCCCCCTCGAGGAGGCGCGTAGCAAGCCGCTTTTTGGGGTCTGTGTGAGTGGACTGGAGTGCTCAGCATTTTCCCATTCCCTCCTTGCCTCTTGTTTGTTCATGATGGATTGTAAGAGAAGGGTTAAGGGCAGCCTAGAGTCAATAAGGGGGCGGTCTCGAGGAGATCTTTATGGGAGCGGGGGGTGCTAGGTCTCTGAGTCTTCAACTCCGACAGAGCGTCTCGAGAGCCTGCATTTGAAATAAAGGTCTTCTCTTCCCTTCTTTCAGGAATACTTGGACCTCAGTCAACCTCTCGAACCGTATTCACCTTGTTATCCTGACCCGAGATGAAATAAAACGTCTCTCTTCCCTTCTTTCAGGAATACTTGGACCTCAGTCAGCCTCTCGAACAGTATTCACCTAGTTATCCTGACACAAGGAGTTCTTGTTCTTCAGGAGACGATTCTGTTTTCTCTCCGGACCCCATGCCTTACGAACCCTGCCTTCCTCAGTACCCACATGGAAACGGCAGTGTTAAAACATGAATGAGCTTGTCCTTCTGTCCCCACACAGGACAGCACCAGGAACCTAGCCACACGAGCAAGGAGGCCATGCCTCCAGGAGCTTGTTGGCTCCGCTTGTATATATGGATCAGAGGAGTAAATAATTGGAAAAGTAATCGGCACACGTGTAAAGAATTTATACAGTTGGAAACTTGTAATCTTCACCTGGAGAAGAAGAATGTTTCTGGGGCCATGGACTGCCATGGGCCACCACGCGCCCATGACCCACTGTGGGTACTGGCTGTGGACCAGCTGGACTTGAGGCAAACTTAGGTTCTGCCTTCCTTGTGAATTTTGTAATAATAGGAGAAAATATATGTCAGCACACACAACGGCACAATTGCAGTATATAAGTGCTGGATGTATGTAAATATATTCAAATTATGTATAAATATATATTATATATTTACAAGGAATTATTTTTTGTATTGATTTTAAATGGATGTCCCAATGCACCTAGAAAATTGGTCTCTCTTTTTGTAATAGCTATTTCCTAAATGCTGTTCTTACACAGAATTTCTTAATTTTCACCGAGCAGAGGTGGAAGAATACTTTTGCTTTCAGGGAAAATGGTATAACATTAATTTATTAATGAATTGGTAATATACAAAACAATTAATCATTTATAGTTTTGTGGTTTTTTTTGTTTTTGTTTTGTAATTTAAGTGGCGTTTCTTTGCAAGCAGCACATCGGACTAGTCAATCTATTGCTTGGACTTAACTAGTTATCAGATTCTTTGAAAAGAGAAATATTTACAGAATATGACTAATTTGGGGAAAATGAAGTTTTGATTTATTTGTTTTAAACCCTGCTGTCAGATGGTGGTTCTTACACCACCAAAATGCCAAGAGGAAACAAACCCATTAATAAGAGAGTATTTTGTTTTGCTGTTCAGCTCTGTCATTGGGCCCATGGAACATTTAACTGGACTTCCCAAGACAAATGGGACCAGCGTTCTCTTAAAAAGATGCCTTAATCCATTCCTTGAGGATGGACCTTAGTTGAGATGATAGCCGACTGTCCTCCCCGGCAGCTGGTCTTCTGCGCCGAGTTGCACGTTAATCAGATTAGCCTGTATTCTCTTCAGTGGATTTTGATCATGGCTTCCAGATTCATTGGCGTTAGAGAGAAGGCTTTTAGAATTGAAACCCTTAGTTGTTCTGCTGATAGTCTTTGGAGACACTTCCATCTTTTTAAGGGATTGCTTCTGTCTAATTCTGGCAGGACCTCACCAAAAGATTGGGCCTCATACCAGCGTCAGACACAATGTTGCCATGTTGTGCGTTTTGTATGAAAGGATTGTGTTTTGCTTTGGAAACACCTACTCACTCTGCTATAGTCATGCAACCTGCAGATTATACTGATTCTACTTGTTACAAATTGGAGAAAGTATTTAATAAATCCTGTTAATTTTTATACTGACAATAAAAAATGTTTCTACAGATATTAATGTTAACAAGACAAAATAAATGTCACGCAGCTTATTTTTTTAAGACTCGTGTCTCACCAAATGGTTTCCTGTGCTTAGAGGTGTTGACTCAGTGCTCTTTGGTGTGATGGCCTGAAAGGCAGGGCTGGGAAGGTTCATTGTTGGCTACAAACCGCTGACTTGCCACAGGGACTGGCCGGGACCAGCAGTACCTGGGACAGGTGGATCCGGTGGGAAATCAGGGGAGGTGGGTTTCCGCTCTGGCTGTGTTGCTTCCTGGGACTCCGAAGGTGTCGTATCTTTCTGGGTTTTAGCTTTTGGAAAAGCAAACGTGGGATGGCATGGGCAAAGCTTTGCAAACAGGGAGGTGTCCTGCGGATGGCAGGTGCTATGAGTGGAGAGGTTCAGATGATCTGGCTATTGGGGAGGGATCTTAAAGCCTTGTAGACTGGCTTCCTCCTGATGTACGGGGAGTAGAATTGGCTTCAACATTTCAAAAAGAGAGCTTGAACAAATCTTAAAATAATTTGACCTATTTCCAGGCCACCAAGAATCTGAAGAGGGAAATGATGTTTTGCTTGCTAACAATGTGAATTTATGATTCAAGGTCCCATTATATCTTCTTGCCAGCCTCCATATCAGGAAAGGGAGACAGAAATAGCCCGAATTCGTCCATGCTCTCAGAACCATGGTTAAAAAGTGCCACGTTGAGGCTCTTCATTGGGTTGGAGGCCATTAGTGGAACGAGAGTCTGGCCAGCCATCTGGAGGGTGGCCCACTGTCCTGGGAAAATAACTGGTGTGCATTTTATGCTTTTGAGACTGAGGGAGCAGCCTTCTAGGAGACCATGTAGATTAGAATACCGTACTGGCTGTTGGCCGTTTTGGTTTTTGAATTATTTTGAAAGATTTGACATCCAGAGGGAGAAGTCAGTAAGGTGCATAAGAAGAATGAGAAACACTTCTTTTTTTGAGCCCTGCCCCCAAATAAATAGATGGAAGCAGGGTGTGATAGGATCCTGGAGCTTATGCCCCCTCCCGCCCCCCAGCAAACGTAAGGAAATTGGTTGAACCACAGTGTGATTGGCACTGTGATGTGAGATCGGTTCATTTACAAAGAACCAAAAATCTCAGGCATCTCCCTGAGAAGTGGGTAGTGTCTGGCTCTTCCGTCTCCGTATGGGAAGGTTGGTAGTCAAGAGGCTGGTGATGGGCTCAGGCAGAAAGTAGCTGGTGATGGGCTCGGGCAGGCTGGGGAGGATGAAGGAGGAGGACAGAGAAATGGGGCCTTCTAGAGAGTTCTGTGGATTCCTTTGGACTGGGTTTACCTTCTCTACTGCTCAGTCTCTCAATCCCTCTTTACCTCAGGAAGCTTCCCTCCATCGGATCTTGTGGAAAGTTCCTTGATCCCACACACAGGGAAGTAAAACATGCAGTTACAGTCAAACATCTGGTAGTCTTGAAGGGCCACTGATTGAGGACCCAACCACCAGTCGGGAAACAAGAACTTGGTCTGCGTGCGAGCTTGTACTGTAGTTGAGGCTCCAGAAGGGTGGACAACGAGGTCTCCGCTATTACAGATCAGGAACTGGAGGTTGCTGAGGGTCACATGGCTGGGAATGGTCTAATGTAGCCTTATGCAGTAGAGGATGGTGGGTTGAGACAGATTTGGATTGGTTTATTTCTTAAAGCTGGGTGATGTTGGGCAAGTCAGAGATTCTATCTGGACAGTCCTTTCCTCAGTTGCAAAAGTAGTTATCACCAGCTTCCTGGTCTTAACAGTGAGGACTACCTACAGGAGCTTAGCTCAGCTCTGGCATACCATACTCAATAGTGTTCTAAGAATTTGTTTTTGTACATTTGTGATTTTTTAGTATATTCACGAGGTTATGCAACCATCGCCACCATCTAATTCCAGAACATTTTCATTACTCCAAAAGGAAGCCCTGTACCAGTTAGCAATCACTTCCCACTTTCCTTTTCCCTTTGAGCCCTGAAACCATCACTCTGCTTCCTGTCTATGGATTGGCCCATTCTAGCCATTTTACAGAAATGGAATGGTACAATATATGGTCTTCTGTGTTTGGCCATTCTTTCACTTAGCCTAATGTATTCAAGACTCACCCATTTTATAGTATTTCTTAGTACTTCATTCCCATTTTTTAAAAAAGATTTTATTCATTTATTAGAGAGAGAGAGAGAGAGAACGAGGACGAGCAGGGCGGTGGAGGCAGAGGGAGAGGGAGAAGCAGGTTCCCCATTGAACAGGGAGCCCGACACAGGGCTCGATCCCAGGATCCCCAGATCATGACCTGAGCCGAAGGCAGACACTTAACTGACTGAGCCACCCAGGTGCTCACTTCATTCCTCTTTTGCCAAATTATATTCTATTGTGTGAAAATAGACACATTTTGTTTTTCTGTTCATTGGTTGATGGACATTTGGATCTCCACTTTGTGGCTATTAGGAATAGTGCTGCTATGCACACTGACGGACAAGTTTTTGTGTGGACATATGTTTTCACTTCTCTTGGGTCCACGCCTGGCAGAGGAATTGCTGGGACATGTGATAACTGTGTTTAACCTTTTGAGGAGCTGCCACATTGTTTCAAAGTGGTTGCACTGTTGTACATTCTCACTAGCCAGGTAGGAGAGTTCCAATTTCTACATATCCTTGCCAACATTTGTTATTGTCGGTATTTTTTATTATAGCCATCCTAGTGGGTGTGGAGTGTCTTCCTAAGAATTTAATAGCTGAAGAGATACCACTCTGATCATGAATCAAAGATACAGAATACCTTACTGGGTTTTCTAGAACAAAATACTTAACTTCAAATAATTGGCCAGCTTTTGCACTTAGAAAATGGCCAAGATAGCTGAGGGGGCTTCGGTGGAGCCTCATGGAATGGAGGGGCTGAGATTGATCATTTCCTCTTGGCCGAGAAAGGAAGGAAGCACTGACGTGTGATGCAAAGGAATAGACCTGCTTTCTGGCTGGAATCCTTGAGTGTATCTCTGTCCTGTGTCCCCAGTTTTATGAAGTCTGGTGAGCTTGAGCAATTCATTGGGACTGATTAATGCACCATTACTTACGTATGCACATCAGAGCCCTCCTTATCCAGCCTGCATTTTGATGTTATTTATTTTTTGATGTTTTTAAAGATGAAAGCCAAGTTTATTTTCTCTCACATTTCATCCCCAGCAAGCCTTGAAATGACTTGGTGGGGCACAGACTGCAGAAGCCTTCCACGGCTTAAGAGACATTCTGGAAGGGGCCCCTCTTGTGTCCTTTCTCCCTCAGGGTTCCAGGGGTTTTGATGAGCTGCTCAAAATTGCCTCAAAGTCTTGGCTCAGAGGTCACCCGAGGTGCTGTAGAAAGAAGACAGTGGCTATAAGAACCATGAGTGTTGACCACCTTGCCATTATCTAGGGATGCTGGAAATAAAAGGCTGTGGATTTCTTCTAATTTGCAAAGCTGAATCCTAGAGTATGTAGCAGCTGAGTGACAGAATTGGGCTTAAAATACATATGCAGGTAAGTGATCTTTCCTCCTATGGCTCAGAACACTGCCTCCTTCTGGGCCCTGTCTTTTTAGTTTCTTTCTCTCTTCTAATTCCTTAGTTGATGAGCACTTAACCAAACCTTGCCTGAATCCCTTTCAAGTCAAAGTCCGTAGCACCATGTATTTGGAAAGGAACAGAGAACACTTATGGATTTGTAAATTAAGAATAGAGGAGGAAACGTATTCTTATTCTGTAAATGGATGACAAATGATCTCTTTCTCAAATGATTGTTGAATTAAATGAGATTTTACCTGGGAAACACTGAACACAGTGCCTGCTACATAGCCCTCAAATATTAACAGCTGTTTGTTTATTTTTTTAAAGATTTGATTTATTAGGGAGAGAGAGAATCTCAAGCAGACTCCCCACTGAGCATGGAGCCTGACATGGGGCTCGATCCCACAACCCTGAGATCATGACCTGAGCTGAAACCAAGAGTCAGATGCTTAACTGACTGAGCCACACAGGAGCACCTTAGTAGTTCTCTATATCTTTTTTTTTCATAGATGTAAACATACACAGATATAGATCTAAAGACAGAACGTATACCTGTGTATATATGTTTATTTTTATTTTTTTTAAAGATTTTATTTATTTGATGGAGCAAGAGAGGGAACACAAGCAGGGGGAGTGGAGAAGGGAGAAGCAGGCCTCCCGTTGAGCAGGGAGCCCGATGTGGGGCTTGATCCCAGGAGCCTGGGATCATGACCTGAGCCGAAGGCAGATGCTTAATGACTGAGTCACCCAGGCGCCCCCTATATGTTTATAATTACTACTGAAGAAACTGATTCATGAGATTGCTAGATAGCTGTGAATTTCATGAGGGCGATGTCTTTTCCTACTTTTGTAAAAAAAAATCATTGAAGTTTTAAGTCAAAGAAAGTGCTCAAAAATTTTTAAAATGAAATTATGCTTACGACATTCAACCTGTTATGTTCCCCTTTTAAACAAGAATTTGATCTATAAACACTGCCAGGCAATCCCCTGTCTGTGCTTTAAGGGACAATTCAACATGTTCAGAACTGTATGGACCATGCTGCTGAGTGGTTGAAGTACCACGGTCTAAAAGGCTGACCAGAACAGAAGCAAAAGTTCAGGAGGGTTTTTGCAAGGGATGCTCCTTTCCAGCTCTGCATGTGATGTTGTTACAAGCAAATCCAAATGGGTTCCGTGACAAAAGGAAATATCACATGGAAAAAACGGAGGAGGCCTGACGCAGCGTTCTCCCAGGGTTAGGGTTGTGTATTGTTTAGGGGCTGTTCCACTGAATCTTTGGGAATTGTGACATGAATGTAAGTTACCAACAGGGTTGGAGAGGCTGAAAGATGCTCTGTTCCGTGGGGCAGTTCATTAAGCGTTCTGGTCGACCATGGGCATATCTCGTTCCTGCAGTGAGTACTGGGAGAGTGGAAATGGGAGAAAATGGCTGGATAGTTTATGCAGCCTGAGAGCTACTTTTTCAAATTATGCTGTGACTTGGTTGCCTCTTCTGGAAAAAGGTGA